CATATCCACAATGTTATTTTGACCCCGATCTCACCAATGGCGGTGCCAATAGTCAACTGCCAAGACTGCATTTCACTGAAGTGACAGCAAAAGGTCACTGTTGTGAGTAGTAGCGCAAGGCTGAAACGCCGGTAGCGATAACGGTCACTGAGTCCGCTCAAGGGTGTTGTCTTCGTGGAGGGAACGTGACCACTACGACAAAGCTGTGGGCGCTAAAGCGCTAGTACTTGCAACACATCATTGGCACATGAGGCGCTATTCGCAAGGAGCACACACTCAGGTACGCAGAGACAGCTCAGGTTGTAATAAGCACACAGGTGGATTTGACGTCTAGGTGGACAATGCGCAATGCGCAAAGACGTCTCAGCACCAATTATCCGCTTCCCCCCTCCCCCACCTTTAAAACCGTGCCTCAATGCCACCGAAGAAAGTAACACCTTGGATGGGATTGAGCAGGTTGAAGCCGCTTACTTCGCGCAGCACAACTACATCGACCCTCCCGATGACTGCACGCCTCTCACCCACCCACTAATGTGACCGCCCTGTTGGCCAACTGACCTCAGATGCCCTGATCACAATCGTGGGTGGATGACAAAATCGAATACTTCCCTCCTTTTACTCATCACATTCGATTAACATCCACGAGGATGCACCGACACCGTTGGCACCAGATGAAAACAAGTACACCCGTCACTGGTTTAACCGCTATTCCAAAAAGCCAGACGATGCAAGCTCCCTACATCTGGTTAATCCCAGTTCCAATCTTTATCCAACAGCACAAGCTTACTAATTTGCATCCGTCTAACCCCGCTGAGGTGAATCATGGCACACAATCAACAACGTGGGTGATTGAAGAACTTCCCTGCAAATGAGAACACCAGCTCTGGCGAGTCCAAAAACCCAACTCTACCCTACCTTTCCAGCTTCCGTCGCTAACGCATTGACTGAAACATCTTCACCTCACTCTCCCCATCCACCTCATTTGCTCTAAGTGGAAGTTGCTCCGCTCGCGGCCCTCTACTACTTGCGACCACTGCTAATGTTGAGACCCCAACCGGAAAGCACTGCGAGATTCAATCAATTCTGCGCATCAAACATGTATGCATATTTCTTGTGCGCGGCAGACCCAGCCCCATCCCAAACGTCCGGTTCAATGCAAATATGATTCTAGACACATATTAAAGATAACATCTTAGCTTCACTGCATCCACAGTCCAGACTTTTGCTCTTCTTTGCAACAAGGCAACAGACAGCAATCTATCCCATCACCACCTGGGTCTTACCGTACTTATTCCAAAGCAGCGTGTAGCTAAATGCACTGCTTATCCCTAAAAGTGTCCTCTCCCCTGTAGCAGGCAGTAGCACCGTCATCCGCAGGCAATCGAGCGACCGACCAAAGCACGCGACGACTTCCAGAGAATGATTGGACTATCAATGAAACAATCTCCTTTTCCAACAATGATGATAAGTGGGACAGCTGGAAACAGGAAAGCATGAAAGGCAAACGGAGAAACAAAATAGAACCACCACAGTAAATCGTCTCGTGTCAACAGTTAGGTGGACTGAATGAGTTAATAAGTCTATCGAAAGTGAGAATCGGAGTCCAATCATATTCGACGCATAGATGTCGAACGGTTGTCTGGCGGTCTTACGCAAATCTCCTTCATTTCACCAAGACTGAGCGGTCATAAAGAGGCTTGCATAGCCATTAACGCATACGCAAGAACCCTCATGTAGCCATTCTACTAAAATATGCGGCTGCTGCAAACAAAAGGGCCAAGACTAGTAGTCTGTCAGTAGGTGGGCTTGTCAGATACTTTTCATAGATTTAAACTCACCAGTGGATAGAATTTCAGCGCGTACATAACAGATTGCCGACCGGATGGTTAGGGGCCAAAGGTCAAGTCAACCTGAGCAATGCTGTAAGCTCGTCTATACTCTACCTTCCTCAACTCGATAGCCGACGATCACAATAAAATGACAACTCCCACTTCACCCACCACGTTCCAATGGAATA